TCTCCATCCAAACCAATTCAGAATCGTTCTGACTTTGCAAGGTGCCTGGAGGTCATTTGGCCTTCCCTGGTCTTCAGTGATCATGTATATAGTAAGCCCCCTTCTCTCTTGTCTCATTAGACTGTGACAAAGTAAGATGACCTGGAGTCAGGAGGATTAAATATAAACCCAGGGACTCCTCTTCCAGATGATCCAGAATATTCTGTGCACCAGAATTCAGTGCACCCAGACCATGCCCACAACCCCGTCTGCCTAACAATGACCTAATCCGATCATTCCACAGTAACCCTCTTAATTCTCCCAACTACTGTTACAGACTCTCTATCACTGGATCTGCCCTCTCTGAGCCGTCTATTCCTAATTCTGATCTTCTCCAGGCTCATGAGCTTAGTTTCTTCAAATGTTCATGCATCAGTGTTAATTTCACAGCCCCCTCCACCCTGCAGGCCACTGGCCTTTGGTTGCCTTCCAGCGTTTTCCTTAAGACACACTTCCTAGTCGTCGTCCTAATACATCCAGGTTGCAGGTTCAATCTCTAATTAGGGCACATAAAAGAAGCAACCAATGAATGCATAAATGAGTGGAACAGTACATCAATATTTCCCTCTCTTTATCTCTCTCTCTTCCTCTTTCTCTCTAAAAATTAAAACAAAAGACACACTTCCTAGAAGCGAGCCCAGGTCTGGTCTGAGGCAGGAGCAGAGCAGATGGCAGCAGCACCTTGCTCTGCAGGCTCCCACAGAAGGGGAGGGGTCTGCTCCTGAGGAGCAGCTTTACCTATTTCATTTTTCCACAAATATTTACCGAGCACTTAAAACATGCCAGGTACCGTTGCTGGAGCTGGGCACTCAGCAGGGAGCGATCAGACCAGGTCCCTGCCTTGATGAAGTTTACCGTTCAGTGGTCAGTCCACAAACGAGCTTGTGGACATCCAGGTAATGCTGGGTGATGGCACAGAGGGGAGGTCACCCTGGACAGATGGTCACGATGGCCTCTCTCAAGGTGACATTTGGCTAGAATGAGTAACCCTTGTGCATTTGAGGGGGAAGAACTTTCCAGGCAGAGGAAATGACAACCACCAAGGCCCCGAGGAGCAGTGAAGGACACCTGTGTGGGGAGGGCTAGACGGTAAGGGGGTGGGCACACATGCCACAGGGTCTTGTAAAGACCCTGACTTTTATTAAGAGTGTGTGGTGGGGGGAGGAGCGAATTTGAGTAGAGTGACCTGAAGTAATAATTTATGTTTTTAAAAATCCCTCTGGCTGACGGGAAAGTTCTGGAAGCTGATAGTGGTGATGGTTGCACAAATGTGATGTACTTAAAGCCACTAAGGCATACACTCAAAAAGGATTAAAATGGTAAATACTATGTCATGTACATTTTACCATAATAAGAAAGAGCACTACTCATTCATTTCATGATTCTTTAAGTTTAGAAAACAAAACAAAAGAACATCCCTCTGGAAACCAGGTAGAGAACAGTCTAGTCTGGGGGAGACCAGTTAAGATGATTTCACTTCATCTTCACAGCAATCCTATACAGTTGAAGTGGCCGATGAGAAAACTCCGGCTCAGGAAGGTTAAGGTCCTTATCCACAGTCACACAGTGAGTGGCAGGGTTTGCTCAGACCCAGCCCTGAGGACTGAAGTTAGTCACACTGCAGTACTCCTATTCATGCAGCTCAGACCAGCCTGAGCCTGCTTCCCTGGCCCTGCATTACACATACCCATCTATACCTCGTCTAAAGCCAACCAAATCACTCGAGCATGTTGGTATAAGCTGCTAAGCCACATCTTGCTGTGTGTGCCCTACTTATGCCATGGTGTTCCTGATGCATAGGCAGCCTGTTTTTCCTACTCCTGCATTTTGTACATTCTAGTGCTTGTTTTGCTTGCCTGATTTCCCTCTAGAGAAAACATGTTCTACTTTTGATAAGGTTATATCTCTTGCTCTTTTTTTTTTTTTTTTACTAGTAAAAGACCCAGCTCTAGCCTCTTTTTCCTCCCTTGGCACTTTGCTTAAATGAAGCACTGTTTTCCTAGCCCTTGGGAACATGGATAAGATGATCCTTATGGTAACCCAGGGCTTAACACTGAGCAAGCACTCCTTTGATTTAGCACATATTTTCGTGCTTATTATAAGCCAGGGACTGCTCAAGGCTCTGGGGATACAACAAGGAACACAGGAGACAACAATTCCTGCCTCTATGGAGCTTATACTCTCATACAAAGTAAGTTTTACAGCATGTCAGTAGGCGGTAATTATTACTGAACAGACTAAAGCCGGGAAGAGAAGAAGGGATGCTAGGATGATAGAATATACTTTTAAACAGGGTGGGCAGGGCACACCTCATTGAAAAGGTATTTGAGCAGGATAATAGGAAGTGAGAGCATAAACCATGTCGCTATTTGGGGGCAACGCTTCCCAGTTAGAGCAAACAGGCAGTGCAAAGGCCCTGAGGTGGAGAGAGGACTAGCAAAGAGGCCCATAAAACGGGACTGGAGCCACATGGTGTGCGGGGGCGGGGAGGGAGGATAAACTACAAGAAACGAAGTCAGTGAGGTGGTGGGGACAAGGGTCTTGGGCTCTTCCTGTGAGCTGGAAGCCACTGAGTGGTTTTGGACTAGGAGACATGATCTGATCTAATACATATTTGCTGACTGCCAGCACTGACGCCAGGCCCAGAGAGGGGTTAAGGGATTGACTAAGGAAGCGCATGTTCCTCTGACTAAGGCCCTGGCCCTGGGCTAAGGGCTTTAATGTCATCTCCACCTACAGGACAAGCAGGTGCTATTATGCTAACACTCCAATCCATATATCACCTCTTGACTGGACCCCATAATAACCTCTTACGCAGTCTTGTCCACACAACGGCTAGTCATCCTTTCAAAACATAAATCACTTCTGGGAATATGTCTGAAGAAACTGGAAACACTAATTCAAAAGAATAAATGTACCCCGATGTTCATAGCAGCGTTATTTACAATAAACAAGATGTGGAAGCAGCCCAAGTTTCCATCAGTAGATGAGTGGATAAAAAAAACTGTGGTACATTTACACAACGGGATATTTACTACCCGGCGGTAAAAAAGAAGGAAATTTTAACCTTTTGCAACAGCATGGATAGACTTGGAGAGCATTATGCTAGTGAAATAAGCCAGTCGGAGAAAGACAAGCATAGTACCATATGATTTCACTCATATGTGGAATCTAATGAACAAAATAAACTAACAAAATAGAAACAGACTCATAGAGACAAAGAACAGACTGACAGCTGTGAGAGGGGAGGGGGTTTAGGGGACTGGGTAAGAAAGGTGAAGGGATTAAGAAAAAAACAAACACAAATCACATAATGCCATGCTCCCTTCCTCACCCTAAAGCCATAAATGGCTTTCCGTACACTCGGAATAAAAGCTAATCTCCACGGAGGCCTGTAAGGCTCTGTTGAGCAGTGAACTCATCTCCTGCCCCACCCCTCGGATCATTCTTTCAGCTTTGTCCCTGTCACCCCCACCAGTCCAGCTCTGGATCAAGTAACCCTGCTGGGTTCCTCTGAAGCACTTATTAACTCCTGAAATTATTTTGCTTGTTTTACAAGATTTGTTTACATATTTACTGTATGTCTTAAAAGAACAAATGCTCCAAGGAGCCTAGAATAGCTCCTGGCATACAGTAGTTCTCTATAAATACTAATTAAAAATGAATGAAAGAGAAGATACCTCTCTCATCTAAAGTAACTCTCAGAGCAAGCACCCAAGTTAACTAATAATCTGACTCAACCTAAAACCTTTTTAAAAAAATCTTTCAAAAGATATTGATCAAGGACCTTATTATTTGTCAGGCATTGAATCAGGGATATGGTTACAAACAAGACAAATTTAACGCATGGAAAGTGTAGCGTCTAGAGCAGGGGTTCTTAACATTTTTCTTCCATGAACTGACTCCTTTGGCGGTATGATGAAGGCCATAGGCCCCCTTTCAAAATGTTATGACAAGCATAAAATACGTGGGGATTACAAAGGAAACCAAATGTACGGAAATATAGGTAACACTACTACTAAAAAACAAGTCTTTGATATAGTAATAATTGTGTTTCTTAACTAATGTAACAAATAACAAGATCTAGTGGGAAATAACTACAGTATCCTTGCACTGATGAAAATAATGTTTTAAGGTCTCCAATATTTCTAATGGAATATAAAAAACTCCTATATCTCTACCACCTAGAAATGTTTGGCTGACTCTTACCAGCTATGTTCTGAATCCAAAGTAAAAAGAAAAACAAACCCCAAACCAAAAAAATCAAACTATAATAACTTTTACAATTTCTGAAAGAATTCTATTTAAGTCCTAACACTGTAATCTTTCATTGATTTTGGTTAGGAAATCTATTAAAAGTCAAATGGAGTTTCGGGATCAGGCTTGCCTAACAGGTACCATCATAGACAGTTGTCTCCAGGGGCACCTGCCCAGGTGCGGGTTAGGAGGGTCAGTGCAGCTGAAGCAGGTGGCGCCAAGCGTGGGGACCAGCATCTCGCCCTTCCTCCAGGCTACCGGGGTCGAGGGCAGGGGAGAAAATGGAAACAGAGGAGCAAAGGGCGGGCCTGCCTTCATTTCTGGTGAGTTCTGGGCACCTCAAGTAGACTGCAAGCCCCCAGCAGTGGTTCTCAACCTTCTGGCCCTTTAAATACAGTTCCTCATGTTGTGACCCAACCATAAAATTATTTTCGTTGCCACTTCATAACTATAATGTTGCTATCGTTATGAATCGTAATGTAAATATCTGATATGCAGAATGGTCTTAGGCGACCCCTGTGAAAGGGTCGTTCGACCGCCAAGGGGTCGCGACCCACAGGTTGAGAACCGCTGCGAGTGAGTGCAGGGGAGAGGAAAGGGGGAATTTGGAGACAAAGGAGACTTTATTTGCCTCCTGGTGACCAGGCCTAAATTCAGAAGCGTTGCCACTTCTCCCAAGGGAAGGACTCCGTGCGGTACGTCACCAGTTCACGTTCCTGCGCCCCTGATAGTGTACGCGGCTCAGCTCTCCGGTGTCGGCGGACATTCGGGACGTTTCGCCCCCTGGGCCCCGAAGCGGACGCGCGGGAGCTGTGAGACCCGCCGACCGTGCCGCCTGGGAGA